TGAGTAACTAACTTTTTAGTAGGTGAATGTCTCTGTCTCATCATCAAGACACACAGCTTCAAATATGCTCACTAGATTTTAAGATATATTTATTTAAACCATAGTGTTTCAGAGCTGTTAACAATACCAGGTGTAAATGATTAGTTCTGTCTTAGAGTTATATGGTTTTACAGTTTTTTATTTTGTTTGTTTTGTCTCCAAGGAGAAAGGAGTAGATCTTGAAGGCCTTTCTAACTATCTCTGGACATAAAAGGGAATTCTTCTTTTACATGCCGGGAATTATGCAATACCTATTTCTGTAAAACAATAAGCTAATAGCCCTTGAAGTAGTGATAAATATTTTACTAACTTGTCATATTCTTTAAGAAGAGAAAACATTGGATATAATTTTAGACATAGAAAAATCCACTCTTCAGAGTGGGTGGGTGCTTTTTGTTCATGGTTCCCATGTCTCTTGATTCAACTATATATGCTTTTAAAATAATGAGAAAATAGTGCTTCTGAAATGGACACATAGGCTTCCCCTCCATCACCACTCTTAAGGGCACTGCATAGCATCTACTTACACATTACTCATACATTAAACATTAAGGATTACAAACAACCCTTAGTGATTTCATCCATAAATGCCATTACATAGGGTATACCAGAAGACTACCCCTGCTTATGTAGTATTTGAGTAGCTATAGATTTTGGTATCTGTAAGGGCCCTAATCTCAAATTTCCATATATAGTGAGAGATGATTAAACTGTCTGTAAATAAGATTATGTTGTTCCTTTAAATGGAAACTATAATCATATATAAATACATTTTAAGACTAATACCATTTATCATACTGTTTTATTATGCACATTTGAGGTATAAGACATATTATTTACACACATGTGTCAGTATACAGTGATACAATTATTACAGTCAGGAAAAGGAATACATCTATCTTCTTATATAGTTACTTTATTTTTAGGCTGTGAAGGTGCCTGAAATCTATCCCTTAAAAAGTTCACAGGATACAATGCAATGTTACTACATGTAGTCCTCACAATTTACAATGATACAAATTTTTAGGGTACTGGAGAGCCCATGATTCATTATTCACCAATACTATGACAACATGGATAAAAGTGTCTGAAATGGCTTTGGTGTCCTCATTGTGTTGTTTTAGATTCCAGCGCAAGCTGGGCTTCCTGAAAGTAACACAGTGATTTCTTGTTCTAACAGTTCTATGTGATTTCATGCTGTTTTTCCTGTGTCCATATATAATGTGAGTGTTGGTATACACTACCAAGCTTCTTTCAGCTTCAACACTACTCTGTTAGTTCTTAGAGAAGGGCTGCTTTTACACAAATTCAGTTCTATTCATTTCTTCTTGAGATTTAGTAGTTTGTATCTCTCAAGGTTCATTTTGCCAGAGTTGTTAAATTCACTTACATAATATTTTCATGATTTTATTTTAGTTATATTTTAATAACCGTGTTGATCATTTTTCTCATCATTGTATTTGAGCTAATATTTGTTTTCATATTATTATCTTTCAGAGAATTAGGTTTCATTATGGCATTTTCAAACAAAATTTTCACCTTCTGTTTTCTCTCCGTTTTCCTTGTGCCCTCTTTCCCCTTTGTGACTCCCACCACCAGTAGCCTCCTTTCTGCTGCAATGTCACCTAAGATCATGTAATTCCCCTCACAGATACTTTCTCAACACTCCATTATTGATAAATATTTCTGCCACTTCACATGTATGCTAAATATGTGACTCAGTGTCAGAACAAATAGGAAATAGTTTCTCTCTCTCTCTCTCTCTCTCTCTCTCTCTCTCTCTTTCTCTCTCTCTCTCTCTGTGTGTGTGTGTGTGTGTGTGTGTGTGTGTGTGTATGGAGTAAATGGTGTGGTTTGGTTTCTAAGAATGGGCATAATCCTTCAGAGGTTTTATGAGGTAGGTATTTTCCCAGATGTACTTGGTAGCTTAGAAAAAAACAACATAAATAGTTAATGATGATGATAAAAATAAGTGGAGTACTTCGATACAATTTTGCATCTGTTTACATCAGTTTTCAAATTTAATCTTAAATATTCTTATACTCATATAGATATTTATGTGTTTATTCAGTAGTAAATATTCTGTATTCCAGGCGGTGGTGGTGCATGCCTTTAACCCCAGCACTCAGAAGGAGGGGCAAGTGGATCTCTGTGAGTTCAAGGCTGACCTGGTCTACAAAACGAGTTCCAGCCCAGCCTGTTACATAGAGAAACCCTATTTCCAAAACCCAACTCTATTTCCAAAAACCAAATACATACATGCATACATACATACATACATACATACATACATACTTTGTGCTTATAAACAAAAGAGGTCAAAAAAGGGAATCTTAACTGTCTCAAAAATATATATGTCCTTCAGTCTTTTAGGGAAGGAAGTATTTTTGTTGATAAGCCTTCTTCACGTTCCTGATGAGCATGCTCATTGTGTATATATTACAGCTCTTCCTGTAACAGGATACTGATGGAGTGACCCCCTGGAGACCACTTGGGAATCTGAGTTACCTTCCAGGAAGCATTCCTCTTGTCTTGTGTGAACTTTTCTTCATTCTTGGGGTCTTCTTTTTGATTCTTTTATTATATATTTTCTTCATCAGGATTAGGTTTAGTTTCATACATATGAAATAATTCAAAGTAATTGTGGCCATAAACTGGTCTTGATGGTCTGTCTCCTGGTTCAAAACTCAAGTGCTGCAATTAGAGGTGCATGCCTTCATGCCAGGCACAGGTACTTTCACCTGCATCTCTGACATCCCTAGTGGGTGGTGCATTAGTTATGTTACCATCTCTATAATCTCAACACTTGACAGAAGCGATTTAAAGGAGAAAAGTTTGTCTCGCTCACTGTTTCTGAGGATTCAACTCATTCTGACAGTGAAGATACTTGGGCAAGCAACTCCCAGCACTGAACAAGGAGAGCGCTGGCACTCTATGCCATTCTGTTTTCCCCAGCCCATCGAGGGTCCATTTTCCCTCTCATTGAATTCCCACTTGGAAATATCCACATAGACATACATAGAGATTTGACAGTCTTCTAGGTTGTTGGAAGTCATTCTTTGGTACAGGGATGGAGGCTTTTCAGTTTGGAGTAAATAGCTAAGCAACAATGTATAAAACAAAATGAAATCAGAGTATGAATTGTGCTGATTGCAACACTACTCATAAGAGCCAAAACCCACAACAATTGCAGTGCCCCATCTCATTGAATAAATGAGGAAGATATTGTACAAATATGTTGGAATACAATTTAGTCACCAATGATCATTAGATGGAAAACTTATTGTTTGTTAAGTATTTCATGCAGCCAGCTACACTCAAACAGAACCCAACAATTCTCACAAGGAGACTAGATCTATGATAAATATTTATACTAGCACAGAGAAATGTAAGTGAAAAATCCCTGGTACTTTCATAAATAAAAGGTAATTTGACTAAATTTAAAGTATGTGGGCCAGAAGTTTCAGAAACCTTTACATGTTAACTTCATTATCAACACATCTGTTGTTTCATAAAGCCTCAAAGTTATGCTTAGCATTTCCTTCTCATGTAGCTTGTTAGAGCTGTACTTTCCTTAAGTTGGGCTTTGTTTTGTTTCACTGACTCGTGTAAGTCATTTACTGCTATGTGATGTGTCTGTATTTTATTTCACAAAATTAAAGTTGTGAAAGTGTAATAATTCACAGCTCCTCAAGAAGTTTTAATGAATGTGTGACATTTTCTACAGAGAAAGTGTTTCTCCAGGTGAAGAAATGTCAACTGGCTTCTGCATACTTGTCAGATACTCTAAAGTTTGGTTTTGGAAATTACCAAAAGGAAATGTTGGAAAATCTAAGTCATTCTATGTTAGCTAGTGCTCAAGCATAGGTTGTGTTCTGTCGTCTCCTTTAAACAGAGTTGGAATTAAATTACCTGAGAACTAAGGGAAATATCTAAGTTCTCTTCACATTGCTTACCTGTAGCATGTACAGAAAAGGGGAATATGGTCCTCTGTGCTCAGTGACAGATGACAGTTCTAGACAAGCAATAATGGCTCCAGTTTAGCTCAGGGAAGCATCTCCAGAAACTTGTGCTTCATAATTTAGTTCCTAGATGTTCTCCACCATGTCACATTCATATCCAGGTCATTTTTGTATTATCTCACTGCATTGGGTGTTTGTTGATGCATGACAATTGTCTCCAAATTCAGGGTCTTAAGACATTAATCTTAATCATATTAGAGTTGGTGTCAGTCAGGATCTAGACCTGTCTTAGTTGTGCCTCGCAGTTTCAAATTCTTCTAAGAATTAAAACTGTCTCGTGGGCAAAGCCAAGAGAAAATATTTTTCCGATTCACCTTAGCTGAAAAATTATTGCAGAACACTAGTGTAGATTAATGTTTATCACTGTGACAAATACCAGACAGAAGTGATTTAAGTGAGGAAGATTTCTTTTGGCTCCTGGGTTTGAGAATTCAGTCCACTGCTGTGAGCATGTGCTGAGAAAGCATATTATGAGGGGAGGAACTGGAACAGAGGGGCACTGGACCAGAGCTGCTCATCTCCTGGCAGCCAACTTTGCCTTTTATAATTCTGCCTTTGTTGTATACAGTGAACAATAGTCAAGGTACTGTCTGAAGATAACATGGGCAGCCCTGAAGAAGCAAAATAATCAGAGATAAAATTCCAGTCCTAAAAGCAAAATCTTAGGAAAGGGTTTTGAACATGTCTTGAGTTTTCAGGAAAAAAAAAGACCTAGAAGATGGTTCTCATACTACATACCAATCCTCCTAATATTCCCAAGAAGTGACTATCATTTCCAATTAATACTTACTTGAGAAAGATTGGTTTTATTTATGCAAAAATTAAAATTTCTGTTTAATGACCTAGAAGTAGGTTTGCTGTTTTACTTTGTGTATTTAATGAGGAGCTATTTCTACTTGATTCTAAGAATTCTATTCTTCTTTGTCTCTTTTGAACTAGACTAAGATGTTTAGTGAAGCAGCTGGAGAAAGGTGATGTCAACGTGGTCGACCTAAAGAAGAATATTGAATATGCAGCATCAGTGTTGGAAGCAGTTTACATTGATGAGACAAGGTGAGCCTCAACTCCTCCCACTTTTCTCTTCATTCTCCTCTCCTTCTCCCTTTTTGACTCTTCTATATTACAAACAAAATTTAGCAATTTTTAATATGAAATGACAGTCAAAATTTTATTAAAATTCAGAGTTCATTTACATGCAGCAAGTTAACTGGAATATATTTTTAAAACATAATATTTACTCAGAATATTTGAACATAATAAAATAGTCAAACAGTAAATTTATTAAGCAAAAACTAATCAAATTTCTTGTTCCTTCAGCTTCACTGTCCTTAGACTTTTAAATAACATGAGACATACATAGGCTTAAACTAGTTTTCACTAATATAAGAATTTCTCCTATTATTTCATGTTTCAAAATTTTGAGAAAAGGGGTATGAGACCCATGAGATGGCTTGATCAGAGCCTGTATGTTGCGCTTCTGAGGTTTAGCCAAGTATCCCATGCCCCAAGACTAGAGTCACAGTTGACAGTTGGATAAGGTTTTGACAGGAAGATTTATTTGAAGGGGTATTCTAGAACAGTACTGTAGCTCTTGGCCAAATCCCTTATCCCTCGCAAGTGTTTGTAAACGCAAGTGATTTGAACAGTTTTTTTCTGGTACTCAGAAAACACTGAGGCAAGTTCCTGGTTTTCCCACCAGAAAAGGTAAAAGTTACAGGAAAAAGAGATGTGCCTTTGGATTCAGAGCTGAGAGAATGTGCAAAGGCAGAGGTGTGTAGTTCTGGAGTGCTAGTCAAAGGCAGAAAGGAGAGTTAGGAGAGGTTTTCTGTCATACCAAAGAGCATTGATGTTAGGTGGTAAAACAGATGTTAGATGGTAAAATAAAGGGTGCTATAGTGACTTTTCACATGAGAGTCAGGGCCAGAACTCCATTAATGCAGTAATAATTTCTGAAAAAATAAGGTTCAAAATATATGCTTGAATTATCTCTGAATGACCCATAAAAGGCCCATGATAGCATAAAAGAACCAGAACTGGGAAATTTATTCTGTGGATTGCATTAACACTAACAATCCATTAAGACTCTTATGCTACAATTCCTTCCCTATCCAACATCATCATTGAACCTCCAGTAGCAAGAGAGTGAGCAGAGGACAAGGAATGTGTACATGCCACTAGGTCCTGTTCCCTCCATTCATGTTCACATAGCTCAGGGCTGACTTGGGTGATGTTAAATATGGGATGGGAATTTTGTATCTGTATACTGGACTACACACACACTGTTATTTAACAGGCAATGAATTAATATCCATATCCATAGTCATGACCTGGGCTAGGTGTTTTTAGATTCTTGACCTTATTCAAGCAGCTACAATAAAACTTTGTGTTTGCCTGTTACAGTACGATTCAAAAGTCAAATACATGAAGAAATGATTCAGGGAAGTCTTGCCTCCATCTTAGTCCCAATGTCCTCAATTCCCCTGCTGAATAGCATGTAGTTTCCCAGTGATTTATTAAAGTATTTTATTTTGTTATTTTTCTCCCCTCCTTTCATGGATGTTAGGTTAGACCACACATAGTATTTTATTTTACTTGTATCGCTAATCAAGAAGTTCTGGGGCTCTGGAATCCTATGTTGAGCTTTTATATGCCACCCCAATTAAAATGTCTTTTTTTAATTCTGATGAAAGATTCATACTGCAGGCTGGATGGCATGGGTGGCTCTCCCATGGTCATAGACTGCAATTCGTCAGGTTTGACGTTGTTAAGAGGTAAAAATCACAGGTTCTTTTTAACTTTATAACCCTTCCCTGACTTGTTTGCTTGGGTGATCTTCCCCAAGGACAAATGATGAAGCTGGTCATTCCAAGAGGACAGAGCCAAGTATATGCTAAATGCCCAAAGTGCTCCTATAGTTGTTTTCAGTTTTCTGCTTGTACACAAATTTATTGTTTACAAGTAGGTTGAACTAGTCAGGTCTAAGAATTCCTCCATTTGTTGTTGACCAGACTTTATACATTAATTTATAAGATGTAAGAACTTAAAATTTTAACAATTCTTAGGAGATTTACAATGTCTTGGAGCTTTACTATATCTTGCAACATACTGCTAATTCTAATTTGCCTAGATGTTGAAAGTTTCATTTGATTGATTATATGCTATATTTACACATTTGTAGGTAATCTTCCCATGGCAATTATGACTTTGTGGTTATTTTATTGGCTTAGGTTCCCGTGATCCCTAAATCATTGTTGAAAATTATTCTCTACTGGGGGAAAATGCTCAGCTCAATGGTAGACATTTAACTTCTGTTGTCTTATTTATTGGCTTCCTCTAGCAAAATATAACAGTTTTAATGGCACAGTAATTAATTTGAAATGGTGTGTCATATAGGTAAGGATGGCTGTAAATTCATTATATAGTTGAATAGGACCTTGAACTTCTGATCTGCCTGACTCACTCCCCTGAGTGCTGAGGTAACAGGCTTGCACCTCCACATCAAGCTTATGTAGTGCTGGGTATTGAACACAAGGCTTTGTGTATGCTAGGCAAGTGCTTCACAAACTGACTATAGCCCTAGAGCACTTCTCATTTGTTTAAATCCTCCCACAGCATTATGCTAATTAAAGTAATGTAATGCCCCCAATTTACACCATCATCTGAAGGCTACTATCTCCCCACAATCTTGTGTAATAGTCAGAATGATCACTTTCTGCATTTCAATGATGGGAACACTAAAGCCCATTTCAACATCCCAGAAGCCCAATGAAACAGAGATTCTGTTATTACCATATTGAAAATAAGGACAATGAATCACAGAAACATTGTAGCACTTACCCAAGAGAGTACATTGAAGAGGGAGTTAACAGCTCTAGCATTCTTGACACTAGAGTTGGGTTATTAACTAGAATTCACACTCTCATATCTTTATTTACAGCTGACTCATGTGTTTTCAAGGGCTGGATTGATTGTTTGATGTATAAAAGTACTTGCTGCCCAACCAGGAGGGCCTGAGCTCTGATCCCCAGCACATACAAGAAAATCAGGCACAGTTGGATCACCTGTCAGCCTAGTGCAGGTTGGGAGCTGAGACAGAATTTCTGGAGCTTGCTGGCAGGGAAGGAAGGTAGAGAGCTTCAGGTTCAGTGAGACATCCTACTCAGTGGAGTAAGGTTAAAAGAACTAGACTCATACCTGATATTCTCTTCTGACCTCTAGGTGAGTGCAGGGACATGCACCTACTGCATACACATGTACACACATACACCACAAGCATATGTGCACATACATACTCCCCCCCTCTCTCTGACACACACACATACACATACACACACACACACTTTCAGAACCTTTATGGATATTTTGATCACTGATTCTTAGATTCCATGGTGTGTAGATAGTATTATTCTTATCTTGTCCCAGCTAGGCCTGTTTTGTCAACATACTGTTGCCTTGAACTTGGCTGCAATAGGACATTTTTCCCTGGAGAACATCAAATGATGTACATTAGAAATTTTATCTTCCCTGGAAAGTCCGTTCCTATGCATTTGTCATCATGCCAAATGTTAGACCTAAGGGCACATCTCAAGAATCTTTTAATTCTCCTGTAAATGTGTACTTAAGGGATTTTGAGCAAAGCCATACAACACAGATTGATTTCCTATATATTTTGTAAGGCATGGAGCAGGAAGCTGAGGATTTCTCTGAGATATATGTTTGCTGTTATTGACATATAATTTGCCTTAGGAATTCTATTAAAACAGATTGTATAAAAGAAGGAAGGCTAAAGCAGCATTTAGTTCATGTTAATTTATATTTTAAGATCTCCTGGTTTATGAAAATTTGGATCTGGAAATTCTTTCTAGAAAGAAAGTGATTCTGTGAATGTTCCATATGGATATTTGAAAATTGGCTAGTCTGAAGAAAAGTTAACACAGGGCAAAATAGGAATTGTTAACCAATGCGCGCGCGCGCGCACACACACACACACACACACACACACACACATAGCACATAGGCTCACACTCTTTTTTCTATTAATTTATTAAATATGAGGGACTACAGGGTTCCATTTAAAATAAAAATCTCTCTGTAAAAACATTTTGGTTAGAAAAATAAAATTTCTGGTATAAATGAAAACAAGAGAATATAGTATTTTTCAAAGTTACATGGTTGTAAGACATGTGATCTAAGAAGAATCCACATGTCTTTATTTGGATTGTAGCACAGCCAAGCAAAGTAGCATCCTTGAACTCATAAATAGCAGGGTAGCCTTGGGAGACATACTTTCAAAGATGGATATTGTGCTTACTAATATCTAAAAAACACAACTTACTATTTTGCTCTAGTTAGTATGAACCAATCTTTGTGATTATCGTGACTAGAATTTAGACTCTAGACTTAAAAAGAACAGGCCATTCAAAGTGAGCTCCCTCCACTCAAAACTGAAATGAAATTACTTGCTCTAGAATACTTACCTTTATCACTTATGAAATATAGACAAGGGTTAACATGAGGAGTAAATGGGACAATGTCAGGCAGAGTAAAAGTTGGATTGTAATTATTATTTTTATTATAAGGGTAAAATGCAATATACTTGTATGCTAGGTACATGATATATTAGGCAGAGAACTTAAACCTACAAAAAAATAATTTCTTGAAAGCAGTTTGGAGTTTTGGAGAAAAAGGAGACAAACAGGGAATAGAAAAAGATGTACAAAATGATGGGAGGGGACTTTAATGCAGATATGCACTGACTATCACAGCCTCATTTGAGTTCTTATCTTGGGATAGGTCAAACTAAATTGAGAATACGCTAATGCCAGTCAATAGATCAAAATTTTGCACTGGCAGACTCTGAGTGATAGTCTAAGTACCAGGGAGACTGAGAACCTTGAAATCATTGAGTGCAGGGATTTATCAATGAACTTCCACTGACCTATCAGATGTTGACTGAACACTATAAGTCATTGTCATGCACACTGCTCATCAGAATTAGGAGTGTCACTGAGCAGATAGCTGGTGATTATGGTGGAGAAAGAATGGTGAAGACA